AAGTGGTGCTGTGGCTCAAGTGGTAGAGCGCTAGCCTTGAGCTGAAGAGCTGAGGGACAGCGCCCAGGCCCAGAGTTCAGGCCCCACAACCAGAACCCCCCAAAAAAGAGTAGAGAAATAGGATGGATGAGATTACTTGGCCCCCAAGATGGGCAGGGAAGGCTTGCAATGACTATCAGGTTCTGGATGGGATGATAAAGGTTTGGTGGTTTGTGTAGAGATGGATGGCACTTAAAGAAAAAGTCTCTCCCCAGGCAGGCTATTTTGATGATAGTTGAACAAGTAGTTGGGAAGATAGGCAACAAAGAAAGAAAATGGTATATATTTAAATGCCATAAAAAGTGTGGCTCTAGCCGGGCGCTGGTGGCTCACACCTGTAATCCTAGCTACTCAGGAGGCTGAGATCTGAGGATCAGAGTTCAAAGCCAGCCTGGGCAGGAAAGTCCATGAGATTCTTATCTCCAATAAACCAACAGGAAACCAGAAGTGTCATTTGTAGCTCAAGTGGTAGAGTGCTAGCCTTGAGCTGGAGAGCTGAGGGACAGCACCCAGGCCCAGAGTTCAAGCCCCATGACCAACAACAACAACAACAAAAAGGTGTGGCTCTAGAAGAGTCTAGCAAAGTAGATAATGAGTTAGAGACACTCTGAGGCTACCCTAGTGAGTTGAGGCTGAAGCCTGAGTACCAAGAAAGCATGGGGGTTCCCAGATGAAGAGTTATGCCATCACAGCACAAAACCACCCTGAAAATACTATCTCTCCTCCAGACAAACTACAGCTACTCACCTTCCAATGTCCACCTCATCGGCCATAGTCTGGGAGCTCATGTGGCTGGAGAGGCAGGGAGCAGGACTCCGGGCCTGGCCAGGATTACCGGTAAGGCCCCAGGTTAAGTCCATAGATTTTGTCTCCAGTGATCCCAGGATGTGTTCAGAAGCCTTCAGTCCAGCTCAGAGCTGTCCCAAATAGGGCCAACTCCCTTAGCCAGCTGGAGCCTGTATAGAACATTTTAGAAAGCCCCCAAGAAGCACATCATAGTGGCAAGGAAGGCCGTGGCTCTGCTCCTCTGTGCCTTGTCAGCCTCCATTCTGGTCCCTCTTCTCCAGGTTCAAGTTCCTAGGTTCACTGGGAATAGGAAAATGCAGAATAAGGCTAGTGTGGACCCAAAAGAAACACAATTGCAAAGGGGCTATCTGTTCTTCCTTTCAGCTGTCTCATGCAAGGACAGAACCTGAAAACTATGTTCCACTTTCTCTCCCAGTAAAAGACACCCACTAAAGAATTCATTCTTTGACCTGAGTTAGGCTGCTGAATTATAACAACAACAGCAAAATATACCTCTGTAATATAATGCCACTATAATTACTATGGCAAACAGAAGTGCCTAATTATCCCAAATACTTCAGAAAGTACTTTGTATCTTCTCATTTAAATCTTGAAGTTGAAGACACAGACTCAGGGAAGAAATGATTTGCCCCAGGCCACACAAGTGGTCAGCAATAGAACTGAAATTCATAGCTGGCTTTGCCAATGTTTGGCTCAAGCCACTCTCTACCTTTATAAGAAATCTACCTTTGATTATCAGTAGATGACTTCTTTGAATTTCTGTTCTTACCAAATCTTCACATAACTACCCCAGGATCGCTGACAAGAAGGAACAATGGTCAGCAAAGCAGTAATAATAATTACTATTTTTGTAAACACCCATGATTATATGGCAGGCACTGTGCTAAATGATACGTGTTAACTTATTTAATGTATAATAAACATCTGTAATAGATGACAACTTTGCTAACATTTTCTAAAATGGGAAAACTGAGTCAAGAAAAGGTTGAGGGATTTGCTCTAGGTCATGCAGCTTACCCACAAAGTAACTAAGCAGGGATTTAGAAGCCCCTAACCCAGCCTAAGACAAATAAGAACATTAAAGATGAAAAATATACAAGTAAATGGAAGAATTTGATGCAGAAAGACATCCTTATTCAAACAAAATCTAAATTCCATACTCTTCTGCCCCACCACAGCCCTCTAAATAATCAGCACTGAAACTCTATCCCATATTTCACACCTAGCACCATGGTACTGCGCTCCCCCTGGGAATGGCACCTTTTGGGTTGGGCAGTACACAGCCTGAGAAACTCTATACCACAGTCCTTCTGGCACCAACAATTTGCCTATTGTTCCACTTTGCCAACCGTCTCTTTTAGGATTGGATCCTGTAGAAGCAAGCTTCGAGGGCACTCCTGAAGAGGTCCGACTCGATCCCTCTGATGCTGACTTCGTCGATGTGATTCACACAGATTCAGCTCCCTTGATACCGTTCTTAGGTGAGCTCCGAAGTCCTCAGCTATGAACACGTGCGATTGAGTCTTAACCACAAGAGCTCTGCCTTGCACCAAGCTCATTTCTGTTCTAAATACTTCAGGTTTTGGATCAAAACAAATGTTGGGTCACCTTGACTTCTTCCCCAATGGAGGCGAGAACATGCCAGGCTGCAAGAAGAATATCTTGTCACAGATTGTGGATATAGATGGCATCTGGTCTGGTAAGGCTATATGGCGGGGCACAAGGAGGTGGGGGACAGAAAGGACACCATCACTTCCCTGGGCTGTGCAGCACTTCTCATAGTGATGAAAACACATTTCCCTTTAGAAGAACACAATGTTTTTTCCTCAGGCTTGTTTCTGAAAAAAGATGGTTACATATTGTTGTTGTTCACACAGAGAGACCCAGGAATGCAGTGTCTGGTAGGCAGAAAGTAGACTACACCATGCAGGTATAGACAAAATTTATTGAAACATCACAGGCTTATATACAGCATACAGGCATAAAAAGTAAATCTTCAATCAAGGGACAGAAAGTTAATCTTAAATAGTTTTACGGGAATACAGACCATGAGAGTTAACTTTTAGCTAGTAAGCAGGAAGAGTTCATCCTTGTCAAGTAGCTCCAGTGAAGTAGCTCCAGTGATCAAAGGTTACAAAGAATAAGCAAAGTGTTGGTGGGCTTCCTTAGACACACAAAGGGAGTCTCGTGGCATTGTTCTACAGGATTAATCAGAAGAGCACGAAGGACACTTTTGCATACCTTCACCTGAGGCTTATGGCCAGGTGTCCCCACTTTTGCCCAGACTTGGAAGAGGTGTCCCCTTCCCCCCCAAGGGAATGCATGTTGGCATATGTACCGTCACAGCACACAAGTCCTCATATGGGGTCACGTGAGACGGTGCCTCTGACAACATATGTGTTATATCTCAGCTCTACTGATTTTGGAATTCCTTACAAAACTGTGATTTAAAGCTATAACTTCAACAGGCCACTGATAGCTCCCTAACAGAAAGGATAACCATAACAGTGTGCATCTAGCTATCACCAAGAAAATTATTCTGCAAACTCTCCCTTGGGAGTCAGTGATGTGAGTCAAGCTTAGGTAACTAGCTTTAGTAGCCAGAGTGAGAATGTTTCCAGTGAAGTCCTTGGCAAAGCCATTTGCCCAATGAGAGTCATTGTCACTTGCTTACAATAAACAGGAATAAAAAGCAATCAAAGTAAGGAAGACTGGTATGGGAAATGGTTGCTGACTACTGATAAAGCATGGCTGCAAAGAAAGGGCATGCTTGCATACATCTGTGAATCTATAGCTACTGAGGTCAAAAGGACAACTGCAATCCAACTGCCCATGGCTTATGCCTGTAATCCTACTTACTCAAATTGAGGTTCAAAGCCAGCCTAGGCTGGAAATGCCATAAGACTCTTATCTCAAATAAATGCCAAAAATACTGGAAGTGGAGCTGTGGTACAAGTGGTAGAGCACTAGAATGAACAAAAGAAGTTCAGAGACAGTGCGTAGGCTCTGAGTTCAAGCTCCAGGACTGGCAAAAAGAGGATAGATACAAGATATAATTTCAGCCACATTCATCTTATGACATCATGCAACTTAAACCCTTACTGGTAAGATCAAAGCTACTAAATTTGATCAAAATGACTTAGCTGCTCTTAAAACAAATACTAAAGGTGAGGACACATGTCTTACCTTTCACTGCCTTACAAGGGCTTTGTGTGAATAAGAGTAGCCCAAATTCTCCACAGATAATTGACCAGCCAGTTCAGTCCAGGTCCGGAAGGAACACTGTGGCATTTGTCACATGGCATGAGTTTTTCAGAACAGGGATAGTTAGGAAAAAGCACAAGAATAAGAATGATGCTCAGACACAGCTACAAAGAGCTACTCAGCTCTTGATTAATCCAAGTACAATATGACAATGTTCTAGTGCTGGTTGTGTCACAACTGGGAGATTATGCTATGTCTGGATTGATCTTTCTAGAACACTTCCAACTTGAATCCTGGATACAAAATGGCACAGAGGTTCTAAGGATGGTCTCAAAAATAAGATGGTCTTGGGTTCTAAAGTTTTACCTCATGTTATTTATAATCTGAAAATCAGAGGCTGGATCTGTGGCAGTGTCCATAAAGGGGATAATACAATACCCCTCCATACAGACTCCACGTATAATATACACAACACGACCAGAACATTTCCTGCCAGACCCAAAGGACCCACTGGATGTTCATTGTAGTTGCGACTGGATTTTTGAACTCCCTTAAATTGTGAAAATATGGTTCCAGTTTGGAAGTATCACACACTTATAAAATGATGCACACATGCTGCCACAGCCCGCTCCCAACCATCTGTGCCCACTTCCTCCCATGTTTCCCCAGGAACCCGGGACTTTGTGGCCTGTAATCACCTACGAAGCTACAAATATTACTCGGAGAGTATCCTCAGCCCTGATGGGTTCACCGCATACCCCTGCACCTCCTACAAGGCCTTTGAGTCTGTAAGTTACTATCCTGTCCTGAGGACTAAGCACATGCTCTGTGGGATGGGACTGAGGACCAGCGGGGTATGGGATTTGAAGTGACTATTCACTCTGTACTTGGCATTGCCCCTCAGAGTTTCAGGTCCTGTGCAGCAGAGGAAGAAAAAGAAAAATAATAACTTTAGGGAGGAGATGACAGAAATTCTAGAATAGACTCAAAGAAGAGCTTTGAGTGGCTTCCATTTTGAAACATGACTGGCAAGATGATGGAGATTAGATTAGGACAGAGGCAGAAGAATGGGTGAGAACAGGAAACCTCCTCCATTTTCCCAATGAAAGAAAGGCAGACACTGGGGTGCTGTGTGCCAGGCTGATTGCGGGGGAGAAACAGAAGAGTGCTATACTGAAGCAGGCCTGCTCTGTCTCAAGGGATCCTCAGATCCTCTTATTGGCCTGAAATTCACCAGGGTCAGAGTTTGCAGCCCATAGAAACTGATAAATTCAGCAACTGGAGCTTTTTGTCCCAGAGCTGGCTGCTAGTGACCCACTGGCATTGTAATTTTGGAAAGTATATTTGATGGAATTTGGGCTCAAGACTTTCAAGACATTCAAAACTCCCTGGATAATTTTGATGGATTGCACATAGGGACTGGGAACCCTGCTGAAGGTGAAGGTCATTGAGAGGTCAAAGGTTCTGACTCCCTGTGACAAATGAAGAAACTGACAACTGTAGTTAACCGTGTCCACTCCCCTAGATACATTGGTTGTAAGACAAACTCACCTTACAGTGCCCTCTGTTCTCCCCTCACTAGAACAAGTGCTTCCCCTGTCCAGACCAAGGATGCCCACAAATGGGTCACTATGCTGATAAATTTGCTGGCAGGACAAGCGAGGAGCAACAGAAATTCTTCTTGAACACAGGAGATGCCAGGAATTTTGCACGTAAGTTTTCACTATTCGTCCAGGGAAGAAAGTATAATTTCTGTTTCAAGTATATCCTTGCCTCTACCCTGAAAGATTTCTGGGACCATTTTGATGATCTTAGAAAAGGAATGTCTAGGTGAACAAATCTAGCAGTGGTACTCAGCAGACACTATGTTGAAAGTGAACCATATAACTTGTAGGTTGGGGACGGGAGAGATAAATTGAGAGAGAATGGAGGTAAGGGTGACATTGCCAAAAAGAATTGTAGTTATGAAATGGTAACTCCTCTGTACATCACCTTTATAATAACAATTTTTAAAAATTAATAATGAAAAAGAAATGGACATGTCCAACCCATCCCATTTAGGAATCAGCTAACATTTGAAAAGATTCTGCATCTCTTCCATTTTTATGTTCATGGCATGAATGGACAGGAGTAAATAGTGAGATTAATGGGATTGGCTGATTTGCATGGCTTTAGGTAGACTGCCCAAATCTCTATCTCTTCTCAGTTTGTCACCTAGTTATTCACTCAGCACTCTAAATGGGCCTCTTAAGGAGCTCAACTCCAATCTCACCACCTGCTTTGTCAAGCATCCCTGCTGACCCTTTGATGGAGTATGAGTAGGAATCAAAGGAGACACCATTTCTCTCCAAAACACCTTGAATGAACTTGGATATCTAGGGTCAAGTCAGACATATTTGAACCTCTTTGTGATAACCTGACCTAGGATGTTTCCAGAAGGCATTGCCTAGCAAAAACAGAGACTGTGTATTTGTAGAAATATATAGAAATAATGCATGCCTTATGTAGTTTTTAAAGTCAGGTTTTTTGAGACATAATTTATAATACAGTAATATCCATCCTTTTTAGTGTATAGGTCTATGATTTTTGACATGTGACTAGATGTATAACTAGCTCCACTATCAAGACACAGAACATTTCTATGACCGTAAATACATGTCTGTGTAATTCTTTTGTAAGGAGACATTGGTTAATCAGTCCTTCACTGATGGACAAAACATGAAGTACTTGCCCATAATATTTTAACAATGGCAAAGTAACTATTCAAAAAGCATGGATTTATTCCTCAACAGTTATTTATTGGCCATTGGATAGGGACTTCTAGGTACTGGGGATGGAGAGATGAACTGGACAAGGGACAGGGACAATATCTCTGAGGATTTGAAATATACATAGGAGATAGGCAAAGGTATGTGCTTGTTTATGTACATGTGCGTGTACATGTGGGAGCGTTTGTGAAAGCAACTTCACATGTATTTCTGTTTTAGATATGTGTGTATTGAATTGTGTGTGCATGTTTGTTTATAGTTGTGTGTTTCTATGTATTGTGTGACTATGTACATATAGTTTATATGTCTGTATTTGTGTGTGTGTTGTGTGTGCATATGCACACAGGCACTGTAGTAAGTACCCTGACTACAAATCTAGGAGACAAATGCCTAAGCATCTGCTCTGTACTTGGAGCCTTTCTAGGGTTCTCAGGCTGCAGACAGGAAGCCCCCGTGGTGCTCTGCAGGCTGCACCCCTGTGCGAGCTCTGCCCATGTTGACTGGAGCCCCGGCTTCCCCTCTTCTGCCTTCACTCAGTGCTGGCAGCCTCCAGCACAGTTGTCCCTGTGCACCGATGGGCGTCTCTGCCCCATGGGATCCAAAAGCCATTTGCTATCTTCACCAATGCAGCTGGTGAACCTGAAGAGTTAAAATTTTACTTTTATTTAATTTGAGTTTACGTGTGAGCAGCCACCTGTGGCTAGCGGCCCCCTTACTGGACAGAAGGCCAGTACTAGGCCTGTCATTGTCTTCAAGTCCTAGTATTAGGTGTGGATTAACAAGTTGAATGCCTTATATTTTAACGGCTTGAGACATGGGGCAGGGATGAGACCCATACTTGGGCCACCTATGTGTGAGAATAATCTGAACTCTTCTATGCTCCACAGGCTGGAGATACGGGGTTTCTGTGACGCTGTCTGGGAGAACAGTCACTGGCCAGATCAAGGTCGCGTTGTATGGAAATAAGGGGAACACTCGCCAGTACGACATCTTCAGGTAGTTCTCTGTCCAGTGGCTCATCTCATTCCATGCTCTTCACAATTGTCAGACCATGTACTTAAATGCTTGCCACTTCCTGTATATCAGTGGGTATTAAGTTACTTATGTATTGTGGTTAATTTCAGACTTTTGCTAATAACATTCTTTTTCAATAATCAAAACCCAACTACTTAATTTATTCTCTCAATTAATCAGAATTTTTAACTTTACCATTACTCCCAAATATCTTGTTTTATGATTAGTACATATATTTCTTCCATATAAAAATACTTTGAATAAGCAATATGAAATAATAATTAAAATAATAAAACATTTAAAATAATAGAGATGAAATGATATAAAAAATCAAATAATATAAAGTTCTATCATCTTTATTAAGACAGTTTTGAAGAGACATTAACTTGAATTTGATAAAAGCAATCCATAAGTAATAACTTGAGGTTGCGTGCACTTATCAGCCTTTTCTATATTTCTCCGCTACTGACTTGAGGATTAAGTTAGAAGGTGACTCATTCATCTAAGGTAGAAGATCACCACATAGAGGCCTCCCGTGGCAATTAAAATGCACTTCCATGAACAGGAATGTCTCTCTTTCTCTGTTTCAAGGGGGCTTATCACGCCAGGTTCCACCCACTCCAACGAGTTTGATGCAGAGCTGGATGTTGGCACCATTGAGAAAGTCAAGTTTCTTTGGAATAACCACTTGGTAAACCCAACTTTCCCCAGACTGGGTGCAGCCAACATCACTGTGCACAAGGGAGAGGATAAGACAGTGTATGTATCTTTCCTTTGCTGGTTCATCTCAGGATGTGTACAAAAGTTCATGTCTGTAATGGAAACTCATCCCACAACATAATAGTAGGCCAGAAAATCAGCCATCTGTGGCTCCAACAGGACCCCTGAACCCAAGTGTGGAAGACAAGGTCAAGGGCTTGATGTGCATCTGTACCATAGAAAGTTTGAACTACCACGTCAAGTAAACCTGCATTTGTATCTCGGCTCTTCACTTGGCTGAGAGCCTTTGTGCCTCACTTTCCTGTCTTGTAAGGCAGGACTAATAGTATAGACCTCCTTACACCTATGTGGTGGAAGTGAAGTTCAGACAAGATAACTATTTAGTGTAGTTGATTGTGAATGCTGAGAGCTCCTAAGGTATCCTCTCCAGTCCCAAGAGTAACTAAGGAAGAGAGTGTCCATCTGTAAATGAATCTGCAATCTCTACTGCTAACCATGGCCCTGAGCCACAGCCCTGACACACACAGAGGCCCCTCCAGAACAACACCAGGTCCTGTTCCCAGGGCCACAGCCCTAGTGACCACTCAGTGCCTTTCAGGTTGTAAATCAGCATTAACCCCTTCTCAACAGCGGCAGTTGCAATGGCTTTCCTAAGGATAACCAAATATATACCAAGCATTTGTTTTCTCCACAGGTACAGTTTCTGTAGTGAAGACACCGTGAGAGAAGATGTTCTGCTCACTCTTATGCCCTGTCCAACACCAGGCACCATGTGATCCCTTGCAAATCTCAATAAAATCCGTTGTTTCATCTGTCCAGTTACAGTGTATCTCAGATACCAACTGCCACCCATGCGGACATTTGCAAGTCAAACCCTTAGACTTTCACAAGCATTTCTGTCCCCTTGGGTCTCCTGCCTTTGACTTTCCATCACACTCCACTCCTCCCCACCTTTCTTGGTCCCCACACTTGCTGAAGGGATGGAGATCAGCGATAGGGAGAAACTGAGTCACCGAGCAAGGAGGTAGCTGCCCAAACACAAGTGAATTTGTGACCCTGTAAGAATCGAGGGCTAGGCCCTGACTTAGCTTTCAATGTTCCTTTCTGACTCACTGCTCGCTTTGAGGGATTATGGAAAGGCCCTGGAATGCATGATATCTTGGAAGTGACAGATTTGGAGATGGAGGGAACCACACCATGGCCTTGGTTCTTGGTGACAAACCCAGGGACTGTGGTGAGAAGAAGTATGCAGTACCCACAGGCTTCTAGCCCCCACTCACAGGCCTGACCTGCCTCAGGGCTTTGTCTCAGGACAGGGCCTGTGCTCTGAGAATGGCTCCAGCCAGGGGTTCTGAGGAGTGCATAACACAGACCATTGTTCAGATGGAATTTTTCTGCTATCCCGTTGGCTGGAGCCACTGATTGCCACCCTTGGCCAATCAGTCAAGGTCCTATGGCCCCACTGACACAGACCCCGGGAAGTGTGGGTATCTTTCAGTGGTCCAGTCTAAGCCACAACCCTCCCAGTAGGTCCCCACCTCCCCAGAGCATGACCCCTCTTGGTCCCCAGGCTGCACATCTCCCCATGGCAGTTTCAGACCTCAGTTTCTATGGGATGCTAGAAGGAAGCTTCCAAATTGAATATGAATGGGCTGTGGATTATTCCTGGATACAAGCCTAAAGGAGCGAGTACAGTAGAGGACCTCTCAGAGTCACTGTGGGGAAGCATCCCAAATAACCCTCAGCCTCACTGCTGGCAGTTACTTGCCTTTAGGAGTCATTGATTCTGGAGGCCACGAAGCTGAGTGAGAAGTATTCATCAGTCACTAGCTGTATAGTAGATGACATCTCTGGCATGTGAGTTACATTCAGGGACTTAAAAGCAACTTTTGTTCAAAACATTGATTCTTTCCTTGCACAGGTATCCAACAGGTGCCTAAAACAGAACAGAAAGCTTTGCCCTTCTACCTTCATATTATATCTGTCCCCTCTGTTCCGTTAGTCTTTGGGCCACGTTGTTTCAACTCAACTCTGCACATAGACATGGTAGTCATTTAAGAAATGTTTATGGGGAATGTTAGTTTATCTGTAACTTCCTTAATCTTGCTCTTCAAGGCTAAAAATGCCAGGGTAAGATCAACTAAGATGTATATGGTCAAGATTTACAGGGACATTTTGATTATCATAGTACCAATTACCAGCGTCCCGTTTCAGGCCACTACTCCTGTCCTAACCTGAGCCCCTGTCTTGCCTAAAGATAAAGGAGGTTGAAATTTATGAAGAGGAATAAATGGTCATTTCCAGATACTGGTCAACTCTTTTCTCACTTTGCTGGCATTCCAGATAGATCATTTGCCTTGCCCTCAAAACTTATCATCTGATCCCTGGGCTCCTTTTCAAATGGCAGGTAAACAGATTTGAGTTTGGTAGCAGCACAGGATACCAGCAAAGTCTCAAAAATAATGATGATAGCAGAGGACACTCATCACCTTAGAATCGAGGGCTCTCAGTCACCAGAGCTACCTAATAATGAGGAGCCCTTTGTCACAGCTTGACCCAGCACTGAGGCTGACCACACACCCTGGACAAGGCAGGACCATGCTGGCCAGAGAGTGACATCAGTACAATGCAGATGCTTCACACACTAGCTCTGCACCTGCCATTGCACCCCCCACTGGCGATGGAAAAAAGCCGAAGACACCAGCCCTGCACTTGAGAGTAGCTGGAGTGCTACACCCAAAGAAACTTTGCCATGGTGCATTTGGAGCGCAAAAAGCAAAGCATATCCCAGGATAGAGATCAAAGCAAAGAAATGAGCAAGATGCCAAAGGCCCACAGAGGCATGCTTCTAAGCCCAGGCCTGAAGGAAGACATCCTCCAGAGATCTCAGGAGTCAGACCAGCCACGAGGAAGCACCTCCGTGGGTCTCCAGGTCAGAGATGCTGAAGGCGTCAGGCGTGGGTGAATGGAATATAGTATCATGGAGGTGGACATGGGTAATAGCCCTACTCCCTGATCAAGAACAATTCATCTGCTCTGCTCTCCAGACTAACATAAATGAGTGATGACTTAAGAGAAATGATTTGAAAATAGAAGCTGAAAAGAGTGTTCAGCCATGGAGAGAGAAAGCAAGCTAGAAAAGCTCCCCAAGTCTATCAGCTATGCCATTTACATGCAGCCAAGCCCTCAGGGAGACCTGGGATGACCTAGATCCCAGAATCAGGTACAGGAGTGGTCATATGTTCCAAAGGCCAGGGAAACAGCCTGTGGAGCTCTGAGCAACCGCAAGGATGGGAGCCTGCTGTCTTCCCACTTCCTTTCCTGGAATAAGTATCCTTTATCAAATATGCAGAAAACTTCCAGGAAGACAAAGAAAAGCTAGTTCCAAGAACACCACCATGGGCCCTGACCACTGACAGTGCGGGACCAACTATCTACTTCCTGACACCCCTGGCATGTCCACACTCAGTCTGTGCATCTACCCTGGCCCTGACCTGCTGCTCTGAGTAGAACTACTGAGTATGAGGATTCCGTCCCTGCTCCCACTCACACGCATCCTCACCAACGTTTGCTCTTGTTTATTTTCTTGATATTTGCCATTCTGACCTAGGCGGAATAGAATCTTGGTGTTATGATTACATCTAGGGAGATGTGGAACGTTTCTTCATGTATTAGAATTGTCTTTTCGCCAGGCACCAGTGGCTCACACTTGTAATCCTAGCTACTCAGGAGGCTGAGATCTGAGAATCATAGTTCAAAGCCAGACTGGGCAAGAAGTCTGTGAGACTCTTATCTCCAATTAACTACCAGAAATCCAGAACTAGTGCTGTGGCTCAAGTGATAAGAGTGCTAGCTTTGAGCCGAAAAGCTGAGAGACAGTGCTCAGGCCCAGAGTTCAAGCCCCACAACCGAAAAAAAGAAAAAAGAATTGTCTTTCAGTTTCTTTGCTCATTTACTAATTGGCTTATTTGCTCTTGCTTAATTTTTAAAACAAGATGAAAATTAAAATTGAAGCTGGGTGCTGTGGCTCATGCCTATAATGATATATCCACCTGGGAGTCTGAGATAAGGAGAATCATGAATAGAGGCAAGCCCAGGCAAAAAGTTATGAGAACTCCACCTCAACCCATAAAATAAAATTAGGCATAAGAACATACACTTGACATGAAAACTACATGGAAATTGTAAATAGGAGGATCATGATCCAGGCTGACGGGGGCAAAAAGTAAAAACCTAGTTTAAAAAAAAATAATAATAAAAGCAAAAAGGGCTGGAGACAAAAATCAAGCACTTGAGTGGCTGCTGAGAAAACTCAGGGCCCTGAATTTTGAGGCACGTTAGAATATGTGTGTATTTATTTATCAAAGAAAATAGCCTAGATTTCTATTCGTTATGGTTGTTGTTTTTTGCTTATTCAGTTTGGGTCAGGGTAATACTAGCTTCACAGGATATGTTTGGGAACATTTCTAACATATTTTGTGGAATAGTTTGAGGAGCATTGGTGTTAGTTCTTCTGTAGAAAGCTGATCAAGTCTATAAAAATCCTATCTCCAAATAAGGCCATATTTTGAGGCACTTGAGGTTTCAGGACTCCAACACACCTACCATGTTGGCTGTTTGTGTTCTTATGCTGAAACAATTTCCCCTTGTGGTAAACATAGGGAATTATTACAAAATTAGCACTTAAGTTCAGGAAGAGAACTAAGGCCCCATTAAAGTGCTTCAGAGAGCTGCCTGGCACCTCCTCCAGGTGAGGTCACAGGTCTGCCAGGTGAGGATACAGCAGCTGTCCCTTTCTGCTGCATCTGCCATGTGAGGCTAGAACAAGAACAGGCTATACTTGTGGTAGAGAGCAGCCCTCCTGAGGCACCAAACCCGCTGACACCATTGTCTTGAAGTTCCTTGTCTCCAGAATGGTGACAAATACATTTCTTGGGGACCAACTCTTCAACAAATGGGCCTTGGAGGGTCTTTTAAAAATCAAACTATAGCATTAGAAGAGCATCCAGCACATGGTAGCCACATAACAATGAGCATGAGTGAGCAAACCAATGGGTAACATCGTACATCTGAAGACACCCAGGAACTACCTGCAAAATTAGAGCAGGGAAGGGCTTCAGGAAGTGGGAGAAGATGACATGGAGTAGCCTAGAGAAAGAGGGAGGTGATGCCGCCAATGAGGGCAAGGGCAGGATGGTGGGGAGGGGCAGGGAGAGAACAAAGCAGTTTCAGTAGACATCAGATGCCAGAGAAGGAAGGCCTGAGCCAACCCTAGGCTCCGGGCAGGGCCTGCAGCAGTTGACAGGGCTCAGCAGGCTCTGATGTGGCTTCTTGCTAACCACATGTTTCGTTTTCCCACAGATGCTGGCCTCCACGTTCTTCTCACAGCAGATAGTTAGAAGAACTTCAGGTCTATTACCCCAAAGAAGAGTGGGCAACTGAGCTGGCCTTACCACGGATAGGCAGGTAGGAGCTCATCAAGTGTCCTTGAATCCCACTGGCCTGTGTTGAATTGCCCTGTAAAGAGACAAGTCAGGCTTTGAACTGCATGAGAACACCCAATGCATCATTTCCCAACCACTCTTCACAGAGGAAGGGGCACCTAGCCTTCCTTGGGGGAAGCTTAGGACAAGGACAGTGTTCCTAATTCAACCTGGATTCCACCTTCCACAGGGCAGCACAGAGTCCCACGGGACACAGAACCCCAGGAGGAGGTGGAATGCTGGGGTCAAAGCCCCACCACTCCATGCACCCTAATGCCAAGTAACCTTTCCGGATCACTGGTGTCTCCATTGTAAAATGAGAGAAAGTGAGGCTGTTTGCAGATATTTACGACTTCTAGGAGCTGGGTTATGCTCACTGTTGTATCCTCTGAAGACATCTTTTGAACCACCAGGACCTGACTCCCTTCCCATGCGTAGCTCTTGCCACAACCCTCAGTACGTGGCATGGAATCTGTATTGCCCAGATCTATTTGTTTATTTCTCACTACTGTCAGCTGGAGTCATTTCATATCATCTTTAAAATGGCTGAAATGATGTCCTTCTTCAGGGTCATGAATAGAAGACTGGGTGTGCTTTCTCTAGGTTCCAGTTTTCAAAGTTTCTTGCAGGATTCCAGTTTGAAAATGACCCAGCAAGCACCTCCTGTCGGAGGCTACCTCCCTGGAAGAGGTGGTGGGAAGGCAGACCCGATCAGCTCACCAACCCCAAGGAGTTATTAGCTTTGAATTCCTCATTCTTACATGCAGCAAATACCATGCCAGGCTGCCCCCTCCCCCGAATTTTCCAGACCTCCTGCCTCATGGCCCACGACACCTACGTATGCCAGCTTCTAGGCTCTGGCAGCAGAGCAATGGTGATAGAGACTTTGACTTGCTATCAAGGCAAGATCTAGATAAATAATCATGGTTGTCTCTGTGTAAGAAAAGCTAAGGAATGGAATAAGAGATATGGAGGAGGGTCTGGAACTCTGGGCCTGGGCACTGTCCCTTAGCTCTTCAGCTCAAGGCGAGCACTCTGCCTCTTGAGCCACAGCACCACTTCCAGTTTTCTGGTGGTTTATTAGAGATAAGGGTCTCACAGACTTTCCTGCCTGGGCTGGCTTTGAACAATGATCCTCAGATCTCAGCCTCTTGAGTAGCTAAGATTGGCAGGCGGGAGCCACCAGCACCCAGCCTAGGGAGTGCTTTCTTTCAGCAGTAACTGGGATTGAACTCAAGCTAGGCAAATGCTCTACTACTTGAGCCATGCCTCATGTCTTTTTGCTTTTGAGGTTTTTTTTTCAGATAGGGTCCTGTACCTTTGTCTTGAGCAGACTTGGATGAGAAGCATCCTACCTCTTCTATAATCCAATAGCTAGATTACAAGTGTATGCCACCATATGCCTACAGGTTCTTTTTGAGGTGATATTTCATTAGCTGAGCCCCAAAGGATGACTAACTTAGGCATGGAAGAGAGTGTTTTAAGAAGAGAAACCAAAACATGCCAAGATCTGAGAGGTGTATTCTTAAGAGATCACCTGGAGTTTAGTGAGCAAGGGTAAGGTACATGATTGAGATAGAAAAGAGGCAAGATCCAGGTGAATCTATTCCACCCTCTGCAAAGGTGACAGAAAACATTCCCCACAGTTATGAGTAGTCACTGGACTGAATCTATTCTGTGGGTCTAGGGTTTCCATTCTACCTTATTCCATTTTCTTCTATCGGGTCTGCTCCTGAGCAGGGTCAGGTTCAGCCTTAGACCTGATCATTGTTCTTCTTGCTGCTGAATTCTCCAGTAGGGGCAACAGGTAGCAATACCAGTCTGGGATTTCTTGAGTCATACATGGGCCCACTCCAGATTTAGCCTTGCTTTCCCCATCCATAAATCTGACTCTTCTTTTTTGTTGTTGTTGTTGTTGGTCATGGGGCTTGCTTGAACTCTGGGCCTGGGCGCTGTCCCTCAGCTCTTCAGCTGGCGAGTGCTCTACTGCTTGAGCCACAGCACCACTTCTGATTTTCTAGTGGTTTATTGGAGATAAGAGTCTCACAGACTTTCCTTCCCCGGGCTGGCTTTGAACCATGATCCTCAGATCTCAGCCTCGTGAGTAGCTAGGATTACAGGCGTGAGCCACCGGCGCCCAGCCTGACTCTTCTTAAACCCATTTGAAATGGGCAAGTTCATAGAGAATGAACTTCC